AAGTCCTTTGGCAGATGCGTGCATTGGTAATATTTTCTCCCAGTCTAAGGCTTGCCATTTCATTTTCTTAGTGAAATCTTTCAAAGAGTAGAAATTTCTAATTTTGTTGGAGTCCTATTTATTATTTTTTTCTTTTATGGGTTATTGTTTTTGTGTCCTGGGTAAGAAATCTGTGCCTGTTTCAAGATCATGGAAATTTTCTTTTAAAAGGGTTATATGGGATATGATCCATTGTGAATTAATTTTTGTATATATTTTTAGTAAAGGTTGAGGTTAATTTTTTTCCATATGGATGTCCAGTTGATCCAGCATCATTTGTTGAAAGGACTATTTTTTTTCTCAGCAAATTACCTTGGCACATTTGTTGAAAATTAATTACCATATATGTGTGGCTCTATTTCTGCTTTCTATTCAAACTATGGCTCACAGGCCAAATGGCTTTGTTTTATATGGCCTTGAGCTAAAAATGATTTTATTTATATTTTTAAAAGTTAAAAAACAAAAGCAAGGAAAAATATGCAACAGAGACCTTATGTGGCGTGCAGAACCTAAAATAGTTACTGTCAAGCTCTTTGTAGAAAAAGTTTGCCACCCCTGATCTGTACATCTATCCGCAGGCCAATAACATTTCTCTGATGGCTAATAATGTTGAGCATCTTTTCATGTGCTTATTGGCCACTTGTATATCTATACTATCTTGATAACTGTAGCTTGGTAGTATGTGTTGAAATCAGGAAGTATGAATCCACCAACTTTGGAGTTTTTTCCAAAATTGTTTTGGTTATTCTAGATCCTTTGCATTTCCACCTAAATTTTAGAATCAGCTTGATGATTTCTCTAAAAAAGCTTCATGAAATTTTGACTGAGATTGTTGAAACTCTGGATCAGTTTGGAGAGAATTTGTATGTTAATACTAATTAATGAGTGTTCCAATCCATGAATATGGCATCTTAGTTCATTTAGTTTTTTTTTCCAGTTTATCTTAACAGTGTAGCTTTTAGAGCATAGGTCTTACATATATTTTGTTAAATTTATTCCTAAGTATTTCATACTTTTTTGATGTAAAGAGTATTTTTTTAAACATTTAATTTTTAGTTTGTTGCTAGTAATAGAAACACAACTGACGTTTGTATATTGACCCTGAGTCCTTACTGAAATCTCATATTAACGCCTGTAGATTTTGTGTCAATTCCTTAAGATAGTCTACATAGATGATCATGGGTTTGCAAATAAAGACAATCTGTCTACTTTTTATTTCTTTTTCTTAATTTTTTTAACTGGATAGGATCTCTAATACAATGTTGAATAAAAGTGGTGAGAACAGACATTCTTGTCTTCTTCCTAATCTTAAAGGGAAGAGTCTAAGTTTTTCACCATGAAGTATATTTGTTAGGCTTTTTTGCAGATAGCCTTTATTTATTAGTTGAGGACGTTCTCTTATGTTCCTAGTTTCCTGAGAATTTTTTTTCATGATTGAGTGATAAATTTTGTCAAATACCTTTTCTTCAGCTGTTATGAGAGGATCATCATTTATTCTGTTAATACGGT